CGCCCCCGGAGCGGGAGGAGGAGCCCGCGGGCCTCAGCGACAGCGAGATGTCGGCCGGCGTGGCAGGTACGGCGGCGGCAGACCAGCGGGAAGCCCGCCCGAGGGCCGCTGGGGACCCGCCGGGAGCCCGGGGTGGGGAGGAGAGGCCTGCGGGGGGAGGCACAGCCCGCTCCCGGGGCGGCGCTTGCGGGCGTCCCGCGGGAAACAGCCGTGCAGGGCGGTCCGCGCTGGGCAAAGGCGAGAGAGAGCGAATGACGCGGAGCCGCCCGCCGGCTCCCGGCTCCCGGGCGGGAGGGGGCGGCCCGGCGGCGGGGCGGGTGCCTGGGGGACGGGGATAGCCCCGGCTGTGTCAGGCAACTGGCGAGCGACGATGGGGGCCTCGGAGCCCAGAGCCGCCCCCTGCGAGGACCGCCCAGCGCGCTGCCCCGGGGCGGCTCTGCGGGCAGGAGACCTTCCCCGGCGGGGGGCCCTTTCCCCCCGGGGTGCGGGCCGGGGAGTGCCGCGGGCCGTGACGCGGCTGCTCTGGCTCTCCCCAGCAGATCGCAGCCCGCGCGAGGAGGAGGACGGCGGCGGCAAGTGCGAGAAGCTGCTGTCGGCCGGCGAGGAGGAGGCGGCGGCCCCCAAGCCGCGGAAGAAGCGCTCCCGCGCCGCCTTCTCCCACGCGCAGGTCTTCGAGCTGGAGCGGCGCTTCAACCACCAGCGCTACCTCTCGGGCCCGGAGCGGGCAGACCTGGCCGCCTCGCTCAAGCTCACCGAGACGCAGGTGAAGATCTGGTTCCAGAACCGGCGCTACAAGACCAAGCGGCGCCAGATGGCCGCGGACCTGCTGGCCTCGGCTCCCGCCGCCAAGAAAGTGGCGGTGAAGGTGCTGGTGCGGGACGATCAGAGACAGTATCACCCGGGGGAGGTGCTGCGGCCGCCCTCGCTGCTCTCGCTGCAGCCCTCCTACTACTACCCCTACTACTGCCTGCCCGGCTGGGCGCTCTCCACCTGCGCGGCCGCGGCCGGCACCCAGTGACCCGCTCTCGGACTACGCGCCTCGGACAGTATTTATTGTGATTATTTTATTACGATTATTTTTATTATATTATTATTATTATTATTGGGGCGGTTTGTTTGTCTCCCTTCTCCCGCGCCCTCCTGCCGAGTTTGCAAGCCACCCCCCTCCCCGAAGCCGAGGACTCGCCACGCCGCCCGCGGGATCCGTGTTGCCCAGACGATGCGGGGACCGGCGAGTTCCCGCCTCGCGTGGCGGCGGGTGCGGAGTGCCGGAGCCCCGGGCGGGCAGGGCCGAGCACGGACTCCCGCCGCGGCTGGGAGCTGACATTTTCTTCCCTGCTCCTCTTCCGCCTCGTCGCGAGCCTTGTATGGTGCTGAATGTACGGCCGGCTCCTTGGCGGGGCCCCGCTCCGCGCGGCCGAGGGCACGGGGGCGACACCTCGACCCCAGACCGAAAAGCCAGACGTGTTTTTTTTCCCCCCTCCTCAGATCTGTCCTTGTTTGGAGAGGGGGGGGAGGGAGGAGGTAAGACCTTTTCGCACTTTCCAGTTGTATTAAAGTCGTTGTTTTTCTATTCAATGTGAATATTTCTAGTCAGGCTTTTTCTATAAAAAAAAAAAAAAAAAAAACCAAACCAAAAAACAAAATCGATGTCACGGGGAGTGTTTTTGTTTTTGGGTTTTGTAGTACCATTCAGTGCCTTTTCCTCAGCAAACCTCTCCTCGCGGGCTGTGCTGGTGACCCGGCTCAGTCGTGTCACAAGAGGCTCTTTCTTTCTAGGTAACTCGTGGCTTCTCTCTCTCTCTCTCTCTCTCTCTCTCTCGATGGCACTGTGCACTCCACCCGGTTATTTACTGCAGATGAATTGTGAATGTCTGTACGCTACCCGCTGTACCTTTCTTTTTTTTAATTTATAAACGTTTAGTTGAACACGTCCCTCTGTCCGCTGCGTCCTTCCTGAGCTCGGCGGCTCCTCTGCGGGGCCGGCTCCCCGGCTCGGGGCGCTCGTGTCCTGCCCTCCTGGGCCCTGGGCCTCGGGGCCGCGCGGCCTGGCCGGGATCCCTGCTCTCGCACAACGGCCCCCTCGCTGGGGATGTGTCTCTGAAGCCAGGCCAGGGCCGCGGCCCGGGTGAGAGGGACAGGGCCGGCGGCGTGCACAGGCCCCGCAGCAGGCCCTTCTGCTGCCGCCGCCGGAGGCTCCTTGCCGGGGCCGGCCGCAGTCGGATACAAGCCGGCGAGGCTCAGGGCCGAGCGGCGGTGCATTTTGCAGGGCCCGGGGAGGCTTGGTTTGAACACAGGCTTGTCTGTCGTGGGCGGGATGCAAAGAAAAGCTTCCTCGCTCCCGGATCCGCGGGGTTTTTCCTTCTGAAGTGGACCCTGGAGTCTTCCTCGGAGCTGCTCCTTGCTGGGCCTGTGCTGGGAAGCGGGGCCCCGGCAGCCCAGCCCCGCACG